ATATAGGTATTTAGAATTGATTTTATTATAATGATTGAGACACTGTTAGGCTTTCAAATTGTTTTAAGATTGTAAATACATCAATAAAACATTGTGTTCAATTGAGCTTTTTTATATATAGATAGTGACGTTTCATTTTAATTGCAGAGAAATGCAGATTTTGAGGTTTTATTTGGAGAATTTGGGATTTTTTTATCAGAGAATTTTCAATTTTAAACAGAGAAAACCAGGATCTGTGCGTCATTTCCCACGTACACAGGAAGTTGTAGTACAGTGTATTGCCACGAGAGTGAGAGGGTGTCTCATGATGCTCTAATGCAATTTTTGTTTGCATTATACCCCCCTGCTTGCTAGGCTCATGTTATCACCCAGCTTTATCTTTAGAAGGATAATTGGGAGGGGGGTCTTTCTCTTTCTGATTTTATTTAGTTATTTTTTGAGAAATTGGTTTTAGCACTTTAGCAAAATAAAATCCCAAGTTTTAAACATTTGAACATCCTTTAAAGGTGATGCTTGCTGTCTTTTTTTCCACTTGCTCATTCAGCTATAATTTAAAACGTGTTTGCATAGTACTGTGGTAAGAGCCTGGAAAGAAAGTATATATCACATTTCATTGCATTTGCACAGAGATGTAGACTTTTACCTTGACTCATTATGGCCGTGTGAAACCATATTGTGGCTGAGGGTAAAAATTCTGTTCAAAGTGCGCACTATTCCTATTTTACATTCTAACTTTTTTTCTTTGTACTCTCACTGAGATGCATTGATATTTATAGCTTTACCTCAGCAGCTCTCAACCTTTTCAGACTCAAGGCACTTCTTATGAGACTTGAAGCAGCCCTCAGAAAATATCAGCTCTTTGCTTTCATTTGTTTTTTGGACTATGGAAAAATAACAGCAATTTTTCTATTGCAAAGAACTTGGACCACGACTGGTCAGAATATTTTTAATACAGTGGGTTCCTATTTGAAATATCTGGGTTTAATTTGTGAATCATGTTTGCCCACCTAACAATGTTAACATTGCATGGCAGTTGCCCTGAGATCCTTTCAACCACCCCAAGGTGCTGCTGGTACCCAGTTGAGAATCACTGCTTTAACATGGCAAAAAAATCATCTTTATTTTTGTGCATATGGAAATGAAGTGTGATTTAGCAATGTAGAAAAAACCCAGACAACTTGGTAAATAAATGCTACCTCATTTGTTCTTAAAATCTGGTCTTCTATTAAAAGCTCAAACTTGGTCTAAATTAAACCCATTCAAATTAATTTGTGTATAGGATTTTCCTTTGTTAGTGGCCAACAGTTTCTTATTACCTGTAATTTTTCCCCTTGTTCTGTTAAATGTAAGTTTTGCTGTCTCCCACAGCAGAACTTTTTTCCATGTGATCGTATAAATTCCAGCTTTTAAACCAGACATCTGCCAATCCCACGGAGAATGTGTGAATTAGCAGCAGCAGCAGCATCAGAAGCCTTGCATGTTGGAGGCTTCTGTCATGGAGCGTGGATAGAGACTTGCAAGTGTTTTCCTTGCTGTTCCCCAGTAACATACCTAGGGCACTGACTTAGGAGGGGCACCAGGACTTGTCCCCCCACAGGTGACTGGTAGGGGGTGCACGTGCCCCCCAATGGCCAACACTCATGCTGTTGGTAGGGCTGGTGCCCCCCCGACAGGGCTGCTGCTGTCAGTGGCTTCTGCGGGTGCCCCCCCAGATTCAGGGGAGACTGGTCGCTCATGCGTCCCCCACTCCCGTGGAGCCCACCCGGGCAGCACGAGCAGTCCCACAGTGGCTTTTCCTGCGGCAGCCAGAACACCGTGGTTGTGCTGCTGCTGCTGCTGCTGCTTTACGGGCAAGAGCCGGGGCGGGCAGCAGGCAAGGACACTGAGCAAAGCTGTGCACCCCTGCCCCAACGCTCTCCTGCAGGACTGGCCCTGTTGTTATGCTCCTGCTGCTCCAACTTGAGCCTGCTTTTCTGGGGAAAAACAGTTCAGTTTTTCAAGGTGTGTAAAATGCTTTCTGGAGGCAGGCACCTCTGGCTGATTCTGCTCTCCCTGCTGGCCTCTGCAGTGCATAACTCACATTTGGAAACTTGCACAAAATGTTGTTTGAGAGTCTGCCTGTAAAAATAGGAATGATTTAGAGTTGCTGTTCTGGAGAACTCATTTCCAGCATGTGCATATTCCCCATTTGCTAGATCTGAATAGAAAGGCTGCATAGATATGTGGTAATTTGAGCCTGTAACTGGAGAGAGTTGGGCTGTCTAATATATTTGGAACGTCATGAAACAACTACTTAAAAATAGTCAGGTTTCTCTTCCCTTGTAAAATTGAACCTGTAGTTTATAATTTTGGATTTCTTTTAATGCAAAACTGTTAGCTGCTTGTACAGCTAATTAAGAAAAAGTAGCGGGGCGAGGCTGAACTGTCGTCCTCGTCTAACTCAAAGCTCTGTGAAGGCCCCTTGATTCCCCTCGAGGGGTGTAGGAGGCAAAGCGAAGTGGATGCCGAGTGCAGGCCTCTTTTGTGCACAGCTGGCTCTGTGGACATTGCGGAGCAGGGCTAGCCCATCAAGTGACTGCCGTGGGGACATGGACTCGATGTTATGAAGTACTGAGTGCCGCCTGTGCTCGCTGGTTTTACTGGGGGCTGAGCGCGCTCAGCACTTGACTGTCACATCCAGGGCCTTCGCAGGATCCTGCAGTTTTGTGCCAGATCCATCCGAGAGGCGTGCTTGGTCAAGGAGGGCAGATTTGTTTCATTTCCCCCGTTATGGACCTTGGAAGGAACTGGACGCAGCTTGGGGCACAGACTGGCTTTCTCTGTCGCGGTCAGCACAAAGCACATTTGTGGCAGTAAATAATGAACACACATTGTAAAAATGAAACTGTTTCATAAGTGATAGTACTGAGAACAGGGCCCTTCCAGCCCCTCCAACTTTTGTTTGTGGGTTTTTTTGGTTTTCTTTGTCAACTTGCTTGGATGCTCCCCAGCGTGCGTTGCAGTTTTGTCTGCTTGACTCAGCGCGTGCCTGAGCTGGGTGCCTGTAGGCACAGGAGTATTCCTGGTTGGTTTGCTTTTGCCACTATGTACTGGTTGTCAAACTGTTTAAGTACTGAAGCTTAAGTTTTACTTTCTAGCTTGAAAACCGCCTGGAGTCTAGAAAGGCAGTTGTGTTTTATGATGCTGTACGTTCTGTACGGTTGGTCTCTTGTTTAGGTGAAATACTGTCTTTTGCCATAAACCACTTAAGAACCTAGTTTAATGCTGTTGTCTCCATTATCATGAATCAAGTTTTGTATAATCCTTATGTAAAGAACTGTATAGATGCCCTTGACTCCTTAAAATAAAAAGGACTCTTTTTCCTGTGTAGTGGAAATAACTTGGGATATAATCTAAATGTATAGGGACTTTTCTGTTGCTGGGTTTGTGTACTGTGAGTGTGCATTTTGCACCTTGCTGGTTTTGAAGTACACTGCTTATAGGGAGAGGATTTAACATGCTCTTCCATGAAGATGAATGAGCTGCCTACTACAAGTGGCTTCTGCAGTGCATTGACAGCTGTTTCTGATATCACCCTGGTGGTGTGAGGGAGGGAGCATGTTGAAATAAACGCTTGCCTGTCTAGGTCTGCAGCTACTGCTGTAATTAAAAAGGTGGCGTGTTTAAAGTACTATTTGACTTTTAGCTGGGTTTACCTTGTAATTATTGGATCTAAGCAATACATAGCAAAGTGAGAAATAATGCAAATAATAGTAATGCCCAATTATACTAATCTGTATGAAAACAGCATCTGACCAAAAATAAACAAAGCTTTCATGCATTAGTATTGTAATCTAACCCATGTGATTAGAAAGTGTATAAATCCTCTTTTTTCTTTGTGAGATGTTTTGAGGCATGATTTCAACAGAGAAAATAACTAGAATAAATTGGCTCCCTCTGTAACAGCCAGTAACATGTGAACTATCGTAAAAGACAGAGTCCACTGCATCGCTTCTTCAAAAAAGCAGAAAAAACTAGGTGTTCAACAGCTCACTAATCTGCTACACAGTTCAACTCTGCAGTCAGATATATGGAAAATACAGTTCCATGCCAGAGCCGCATCCAAGCAAACGTGCCCTCGACCACTTAATACTGATTTTAAGTACTTTGTAGGTCAAGATAAAATGATGCACATATAACCTGCTGAGAGACCTAGGATGGCTATCTTGATCTGTGCCACATCATTGATTTTTGCCTGCCATGGTTTCCTGTATTCCAGTATTCAGTTTGAGTGGCTTTGGGGGTTTTGCTTTCCTGTTGATGTTGTTTGGGGTGGGAAGGGGGGTGTAACAGAGGTGGTGCGTTCCTCTTAGATTAACACAGAAAGATCAAATGTTGAAAAACAAAAAGACCATAAACTGTAGCTTTTCAAAGTGTTGCTAAAATAAGACAATACACAATCTGTGCTGAACACTGTCTCTTATTATCTTCCTTTTTCAGCTATTAATAGACATTGTCTTCACCACTCCAGTCTGGCAACATCACAAACAAGCTAAGCTTTTAGAAGGCCGGGTAGAGATGTACCATATAGACCAACTCAGTCAGAGTTGCTTAACTTTCATGAGCAAAAGCTGATGACGTCCATTTGATCATTTCAGAGATGCTTCTGATGAAGTCAGTTCTTGCTCATGAAAGCTTATGCATCTCTGATTCAGTTAATCTGTAAGGTGCATGTCTACCTTGCCTTCTGCCTGACTTCTGATTAACATGGCTGACTACCTCTATAAACTTTCAGTGGTGGGTAAAGGCATTTCCATACCACTGGTATGGTAATAAGAACCCAGTTGTGTTAAATTCCTGAGTCAGGAGTTTGGAGATGAGAGGGTTAGGGTTAGGGTTAGGCTGAACAAGTTGGTATAGAAATAACTAAATATTTAGAACACCATATCACAAAAGGACACTTGCTTGTATCTGCCCCATAACAAATCTTAAACTGTGAAACATTTTGATATTTTCTCCAGGAACTAGCAAGCTGTGGATGGAATAAGAAGGAGAAACACATCCTTGCCCCTAATATTGTTGCCTTTACCAGGAGGTTTAACCAGGTAAATAATCTATTTAAATTCACTGAACAAATGCTGTCTTCCAATATGCAAGGACTGAATTAGTTACTTTGCAAATACAGATATATGTGCCACATCTGAATCCTATTAATACATTTGCCTTCATAGATGAGCAATCAGAAAGTAATTAGAACAACATTTTTCTTGAGAGAGTTATTGGCTTTAAAACAGACTAGTCTGGGTGTAGCACATGATATATTGATTGTAATTGCATTGTATTTTTTTGAAGTTAAGGCCAAATGTAAATGTTAAATGACATTGATTGGAAAAATAATCCTTGTTTGTTAGTTTTGGTTTGGCCACCTCTTTTAATGTCATGTACTGTATTTGTTTTATCCAAGTTATTTACTTGTTTAATAGATGTGAAAGCAGTCTGCTGGGTACCAACGAGCTATGTTTCTTTCTGATGAAGAATATTTGATTATATTTCAGTTCAGCAACCCGCTCTTAAACAGCAGGTTTTCTGCCAGACCCTAAGATTGTCTAGGATTCTGATATAATCCTCGTTACACACAGAAACAAAGTCAGTTTGGCAAAATTGTTTTGTTTTGGTCTGTTTTAGTCTACTTTGTGGACAGCGTTGTGTGTTCAGGTTGTATCTATTAATACAAATCAGCAATAAGTTAATACTTGTCAAAGTGCAGTGTTATACAAAGCCCAGCACATCCTCAGAGCAGTTCTCTTTTAATTGGACGAGGACCTAAATCCAACTAGCAGATCAAGGACAGGCTAATTTTAGGATTATCCCTTCTAAAAATCCTTAAATATGCTCAGAAATATTGTGCATTCTGCTGTTGCATGCCAGCACCTATGTGAGAATTTCCCCCGTCCCCCATCAGCCACTGAATCAAAACCACCCATTATCAAATACTAGAATCTAAAGTTTGGAAAGGACCTCGGAGGTCACTTGGTCCAGTCTCCTGCAGAAATGCAAGATGCACTGTTTCTAAACCATCCCAGTCAAACTTCTATCTAGCCTCTTCTTGTAAACTGCCAATGAAGGACATTTCTCCAGGTAGCCTGTTCCTGTGCTTGACCACCCTTAAAGTCAGAAAGTTCCTCCTAATCTCCAATCTAAACTTCCCCTGCTGAAGCCTGTCCCCCATGGCCACAGAAACCCCCCCATCCCCATCCTCTGTGATTTGTCCTTCAGAGACTTACCTACCCCCACCCTAGTCTTCTCTTCTCCAGACTGAATAACTTTAGTTCTTTCAGCCTCTTCTTGCAAGTCTTGCCGCCCAGGCCTCAAATCATTTTTGTTGCTCTGTGCTGGGCTCTTTCTCCAATCTGTTCACATCTTTCTTGAAGTGTAGGGCCTAAAACTGGACAGAGTGCTCCAGGTGAGGCCTCACCAGTGCTGAGTAGAGGGGAAGAATCACTGCTCTTGAGTTGCAAATACCATTCCTGTTAATACAACCCAGGATGCTGTTAGCTTTTTTGCATCAAGAGCACATTGTTGGCTCATATTTAGCTTATGGTGCACTGTAACCCCAGGCTCTTATCTGCAGTACTGCAGCCTAGCCAGGCATTCCCCAGTCTGTAGTTGTGCATGCAAATGCTCGGCTAGGCAACAGTACTGCAGAGAAGGACCTGGGGGTTACAGTGGACCATAAGCTGAGTATGAGCCAACAGTGTACGTGTTTGCCTGGCTGTAACTGCAAGACACCAGAAGCTGAGGCTGTAAGAAATTGGCCCCTAATACAACAAGACTTGCAAGTCAGAGTTTCTTACGGTGCTGTGCTTCATCAGATGGGATGATCACACGCAGCTGCTCACGTATCTTATGTCATATGTAAATCATCTGTTCTTTAATTAAGTCAATCACAAAAAAAGTTGTTAATTTAAAGGGCAAAGATTATGCTGGTGTAAGAATGTAATCAAGGAATTGTGTGTGCTTTTAAAAAGCTGTCAGCAGTTCTTTTTTTTAGCTAGTTAGCATGCCATTTGAACTTGCTCTACACTAGTCAATGGAAAAAATGTGCTGTAGAACAACTGTAATGGCAAGAATGCAGCCTTGAATAATTAAAATAAGCCTGTTCCTTTTTTTTTTTTTATTTCTCTAAATATTGTGATTGTTATCCTTACTGAGCACGTTGCAGTGTACCTGTATAATTCTTACTTATTGCCTGATATAGTAAGCTCCCTGATTTGAAGTATGTTAAAAACATGTTCATTTTTCCATTTAAGTTAATAGGGCTCCCTTCCTTTCATGTACTTTAATTAGAAGTAATCTCAAGAACTTTGCCAAATTAAGTCCAAGATATTTAAAATGACAGCTTTATTTTCATTAATTTTGTTAATGTTTTCTGGACTTCGGAAGTTCTTGACAGCCTTTATTGATAAATATAGAAATACCATGATCTGTTGTGCTAGTCTTATTAAAGGTAAAGCTGACATCACTATTTCTTATGCTTCCTGAAAATTCTTGTTATAAGATTGTGTTTTCAATGCTTTATAAAATTGCCAAATTGTAATTGCTTGTGTTCAGATTTTTCATGCTGGATATCTGCCACAGGCTGAGTATATTTTTGAAGAATTTCAGCCAAAACAGTTCAGCCATTTCCAAGAATGAGATTAAGGAAAATAGTATTTTGCCCATTAAAAAATTTCTTACAGCTGTGTCCCGGAGTAGTTGTAGCACCCCTATGCTTTGGAGCAGGGACTTGAAATTTGGCAGGGAAAGGGGCCCTTGTGACAGGGATGCGTCTTGCTGTTGCATGAAAATCCTTTCACGTTTGGCCAGTTCTTAAGCCTTTAAAAATGTATTTGCATAGGCCCAGTTGAGGCTTCAGAGATTGTAGCTCTTTGTTCCAAGGAGGTTCAGCTCTCACTGAGCAAGTCCCAGCCCCTCAGTTTCTCTGTGCACCTGAGCTCCCTGGCAGCACCCCTGCAAAGCTGAGCATTCTCCAGCCCAGGCCAGAGAGCGTCAGCGACAATGTCCCTGCTGATGCAGCTGCTGATTTTTAGCAGTGTTGGGTCGGGCCACGTGCTGGAGTCGAGAGCACAGAACACTGCCTCCCTGTGCGCTCCTGTGGTCCCGAGGAGGGCCACTCCCGAGCACCCACCACCCGCGTGCTCCTGCCCGCAGGCACCAAACCAAGTACTAGGACTGTGAATGTGCGCCAGGCCACAGGTTGTAGCAGGTTGGGACTTGCCTGTTCTCTTACGTAGGCAGGATTTCCAGGGGTGTCCTCTGTCACTGCCAAGCATGCTGGAGCAGAGTGCTCAAGGGTGGACATAACGGGTAGCACAGAGCAGCTTCATTTCCGTGTTCCTGGCTTAGGCTGGTAAGTGGGCATGCCTCCCTAGAGGCACAAGGGTACAGAGTGGCCATGGCCTTTGAGCCCAGCCTGCTCAAGCCTTTTATGGAGGAAGCAGCCCCTTGCCTACAGTGCTGCTGCCTTTGAAAGGTGGGGGTTTGGAGGAGCTTGTACTTTCCTCAAAGTACCTGGAAAATGTACAGATGCCATTTCAATTGGCCTCTTTATTAATTATACTTAGGTGTTTGTGTTTCCTTTCAGGTTAGTTTCTGGGTTGTACGAGAAATTTTAACAGCACAAACCTTAAAAATAAGGGCAGAAATATTGAGCCATTTTGTGAAAATAGCTAAGGTAAGTGTGAGTTTTCTTTTTTATTACTAATATATTTTCATTCAGAGGGGCTTTTTTGGGTTTTGGGGTGTTTTTTTTTTCCCTTTCTGTGTTACTTCACTCCTCATATTGACTGTCCATGGACTGCAGAGGTCTTTAGAGCTGGCAGCTACCATCCCACCGGGTGCTTGGCTCTTATGCCACACAGCATGAATGGCTTATCCTGCTGAGGAAGTGACACCTGCTGCTTTTCCATGGCATAGTACAGTGGGCAGCTGATTTGTAAGTGGTCGCAGGTCTAGATGTTCCACATTAAAAAGAAGTTTGACTTTTTTTTACTTGACTGTTTATGAAGAAAAGGTGGCCTCAAACATGCTTTGTGTTTGGTTTCATCTTAGACATACCAGGACAGACTATCTGTGTGTTGGTTGTGCTGCATGACTTCTTGGAGGCTTGCGATGCATTTTGCACTGAAGGAATGGGATATTTAATATTAATCTAGGATTTTTTGCTCCCAAATGCTGCTCAGCTATTTGAGATATAGTCTGATTAAAAAGCAGTCTTTTGTTGAATTGTAGTTCTGATGTATTGTTCTTATCAACTTAAGCTCATTGCTGCAGTATCAGGCATCAGTGAAACCCTGCTGAAAAACACGTTAAGACAAAGTGTCACCTTTTTCAGGCTGCTTTTATGCATGGCAGGGAAGAAGGATGTATGATTGCAATATAATTTTCATGTAGAGATCACATTTTATTTGCTGTAGGGAA